GGAGATGCCCTGCTTGGATGAAGACCCAACTAAAGGGTCAATATTTTTCATGACACCTGCCAGGATTTTGTGTGAATCTGAGGACAGAATATACTCAAAAGGCCTTTGAAAACCGATTAGCTATACAAATGTTATCAGCTGGTCTGTATTCCTTGTTGTTCTGACTGGTGACTTGACACTTGCTATGTAATTTATATATTTTAAGATTTATTTATTTGAGAGAGGGAGAGAGAGACCACGGGGGAGGGGGCAAAGAGAGAGGGAGACTCCTTACTGGACTGCTGGCTGAGTGCAGAGCCCTTCGTGGGGATCCATTTCATGACCCTGAGATCACGACCTGAGCCAAAATCAAGAGTCAGATACTCAACTGACAGCCACCCAGGCGCTCTGCTGTTTAATTTTTTTAACACTATGAGCTCAATGTAATGCAAGTATATACTCAACAGAATACTGGGTACTTTCATACTTAATCCTCACAATTTCACTGTTTATTTTACCAGAGGCTCAGAGAAACTGACTTGCTCAAGAATATAATTTTTGTCCTTTTTAGGGCCCTCTTGAGATTGGGTTAAAGAATTCTCCATGTGCTGCCGCACCACAACACTTACTACAGAGTCCTCCCCATTATACTAGAAGCTGTGGGTGCCAGGAACAAAATTTTGGTCACAGTTATCTCTATTCAGTAAATGAGTACATAGAAGATACTAGAAAAACAAGACAAAGCCAACCCGCCAAATACTGTTTTCCTTACAACATAGTGTTCACTGTCTGTCTTCTGCTCCTAGAATGTAAGATGTATGGAAGACCTACTATGCCTGGCTCATGGCTGGATTCTCAAAGCCTAGAACAATGCTTGGGACATATTAATAGTCCAGTAAATACTTGCTGGTAAATAAATGACAGCTATGTGGACAAGCAAATTCTTTTTGTGACATCAGTGCACTTTTTTTCTGACGCTGATTCTAGTAAGATAACGTTTTGAGACTGCCAACACTCTGATGTGGGTAAGTGCTGAATGCTCTGGCTTTCTGAGTTAAACATTCACTTGCAGCAAGATGATGATCAGAGGGGGAACCACAGGAATGCTGTCCCTAAGAGCATGGTCTCAGGGAAGACGGCATTGCAGGCTGGTGCAGGTGTGGGCCATGGACTCTTGCTCCATGGCCCTGGTCCAGCACCAGCAAGACCATGACTTGACACAGCTGGGCTCTTGAGTCCTGGGTCTCATACACCACCCTTTCACCAGATGCAGCTCTTGAAGCAGCAGGAAAAAAATAACCTGCTTGTAATCATCATCAGCTTCATGTTCTTAGGAATCCTGTTTCTTGCCAGAACCCTTCTAGATCAACTATACTATTCTTTCCCCCCTCTGTAAACCAGTATTATGTGCTACATTAAATATTTTTTAAGTGTAAAAGTTACCATCACATTAAGAAAATTTAGAGTATGAAAAAAAATACAGAAAGTCACCTCTAATTTCACCAGTCACAAAATGATTAGCCTACTTGTGTATATTCTTTCTCCTGCCATGCATGTGTATATATGCATTGTGTGTGTGTGACATGTATCATGATCGTTTTTTTTTTTAATAAAAATTTTATTTATTTGTCAGAGAGAGACAGCGAGAGCACAAGCAGAGGGAGCAGCAGTAGCCGAGCAGGAAGCCCAATGCGGGGCTCCATCCCAGGACCTCGTGACCTGAGCCAAAGGCAGACACTTAACCAGCTGAGCCACCCAGGCATACCTTGTGTTTTGCCTTTTTGTTTAACATCATGCCATGTTTACACCACAAGGACATCATAACCATCCATTTAAATAGTTACTGATATACACCTTCAGGATTTTTCAAAGAAACTGACAAATTTCAAAGGCAAACCTTTTTCTTATATAAATTCCAAATCTGGAATTCTTAGATGTGAACTCATGGCACTTGACACATATCATGAAATTGTTGCCAATATGTTAAATACCAATTTAATTGGTTACGAAGTGATAATTTATAATTTAAATCAGGTTATCAATATAGTATGGAAAAATTAAAACCTCATCAAGTCTTCAATTTGCATTTAAGAACATCGCTGGGACAGACAGCTTTAACCATGACTGCTTACTAGTTACTTATTCTTTTAGAATCATCACAGACATTGAGAGGAAATGTTTATCTGCTGCTAGGTGGGCCTCTCTTTCTTGGAAACGATGTACCGTTAGGGCATCAGGAGCAAGGGTTTTAGGACTCACATCCCTCTTGCTCAAAGAGCTGGGCATGTATGCATCAGCCTCATGAACTGGTCATTTCATCCATTCATTTACCAAAGAAAGACCATTACATTTGTAAGAATAAAAGGAGGGGGGAAAAAAAGAATAAAAGGAGGATCTGATCAAAAGGAGAATTTGATAATTTAGCTAATATTCTTTATTTTTGAAGTATGCTCTACACCCAGCATGGGGCTTGAACTCACAACCCTGAGATGGAGAGTTACATGCTCTATTGACTGAATCAGCCAGGCACCCCAAATTTAGCTAATATTATCATTTTTTAAAAAAAGATTTTATTTGACAGAGAGAACACAAGTAGGCAGAGCAGCAGGCAGAGGGAGAGGAAGAAGCAGGCTCTCTGCCAAGCAGGGAGCCCAATGTGGGGCTCAATCCCAGGACGTTGGGATCAAGACCCGAGCTGAAGGCAGCTGCTTAACTGACTGAGCCACCCAGGCGCCCCAGCTAATATTATCTTTAAAAGTCACTTCCAAACTGTCCTAAGTAATGATCCATCTTGGGAATTAGAAGAGCAATTTTCCCCCAAGTATTAATTTTCTTTCTTTTTTTTATAGTCAGGTATTTATGCTCATGAAGCCCTTATTTAACATAAGCTGTTACATATCAACTAACCTTTCTGATAACCGTGGGAGGGGGTTGGTACTAATTATTAACAGCTTACAGAAGAAAAAAACCTTATGCTTATGGAGGCTAGGTAACTAGGTTGAGGTCACCCAGCCTCAGTTTGAACCCAGGTAGCTTATACTTCTATTCCACTAGTAGCTATCCCAGTCTCCTCTGGGGAGGGTAAAAGTTAGCAAAATGCTAACGATGCTGTTCTGCTCAAGGAAAAGATAATCTACACATACACATGGTACTTTTCCCAATCGCTGTCATTTGAATGATTTTGTCACTATGGCCCAGACTGAACTGGGGGGAAAAGGGGAGACTGAATCTAAATGCTAGAGCTAGAAAACATTTCAGAAGTGATGTACTTGAAACCCTCTAAATGCTTCTAGACTTTGAAGTAACTCGGCTTAATTGCTCACATCTGGGCAAGCCAAGCAAGCTTGGGCTGTCGCTTCCTGTCAAGAACCGAAAGAATTTTCATATTGACACAAGTCTGTCATTAACCTCTTTCTTCATGTCTTCGAGGCAAATGCCTGACCTGATTATTAAGACAGGCCATGTTGCAAAAGTGGAAATTTACTGTTCACCTTCCCTCATCTTTCCGAGCAAAACAGGGAGGGGAGGGGTACATACCTGATTATTAGGTTTGTTATACTGTGAACCATTTGCTAGGTAAAACCCAGACATTTAGGTTTTTCATAAAAACGGATACCCATTTCATTCTGAAATTCAATACAGTCAAACACTGGCTCATACAAAAATATTAAATGGCTCTTAACACATTTTTTTCTTTTTAAAATACAGGATTAATATTGACGTATGTATCTATGGACAAACAAACTAAATTTAGACAACTCAAGAATTCAGACAATTAGTCTTCAGTGTGATTATCAGGGATAAAACACCTCTGAAATTTCCATAATTTGTTTTTACCATCATGCTTTCCTGAGTATTTTGTAGAAATTATTCATTTATCCTAACTAGTTAATTTAAATTCTCAATAGATGGGAGTGTGCAGGCTAATACAGTCTTGTCACCATGATCATCTATAATTGCTAACTATCGGTTTAAGTAATACTCCAGCTTTGGCTTAGCAGCTTGTTACAGAGTAAGCTCTTAAACAGTGCCAAGCGTTTTTAGGGCCTATGACTACCGAAGAGCTGTACATGTTCTCTCTGCCACTTACGGAAGGTGTGGGACAGAGAGAAAACGAAGATGGGCAGGTGGTCTTTGCATACATTTGTTTCCAAAGCAGCCACAGAAACTGTGTGAATTGGAAAAAAACTGTCCTCATGTGGAGTAAAGGACAATAGCTTGGCTCAGAAAGCCCAGCTGCTTCTCAGCGTTGAACACAACCTACAACACAGACAGGATCCGCTGACTGATAACAAGGAATAGATGGCACAGAGTAGGCCTGTACTGGGTTTTAGTGTGGTTTGTTACCACAACTAATCTTGAATAAATACCTTAATTTCTGCCTCTTCAGGGGAAAAAAAGACTGGGTTGGACTGGGCAATAGAAGGTTTAATTCCAGCTTTGAGCCAGTTTTTAACCCTTTACTAACAAGATTCAACTACTGAACAAAGACTAAGCAGGGTCTTAGGTATGGACATAGCTCAACGATTGGGATGGGAGTGATGGGGTTCAAGACAAGGTTGCCCCCAAATATGCCACTTTGGAATGTGGAGTATCTGAGCTGAAGGCAGTCAATGCCTAGCAGACTCAAGAAGAGCTTTTTACCTCCCCTGTAACTGCCTAAAAAAATTTAGATAGGGAGCCTGTACCAGGAAGAGACGTATTATCATTTTTTTTTTTTTAAATGCAAGACTTTTCTATATTGGCATGGTCTACCAAACATTTGCTCTTCCATCTTCGTGTAAATTGTCTTCATTCCTTTTGAAGCTACAGACCCCTACCCACCCCTCCTTGGCTTTGGACGGCTTGTAAGTCTCAGCTGTCTGATTGTTTTGTTTTTTAAAATATTTTATTTATTTATTTGACAGAGATCACAAGTAGGCAGAGAGGGAGGCAGAGAGAGAGAAGGAAGCAAGCTCCCCGCTGAGCAGAGAGCCTGATGTGGGACTTGATCCCAGGACCCTGAGATCATGACCAGAGCCGAAGGTAGAGGCTTAACCCACTGGGCCACCCAGGCGCCCCTGTCTGTTTTTGACCCTCACATGTCTATGTGAAGTTCCTGTATGTATGAAATTAAAATTTTCTATCTTATCTGTCTTATGTCAATTATTATGCCATCCAAAGAACCTAGAAAGAAAGGCAGTTTTCTTCCTTAGAGGAGAAAATAATTCTGTACTCCTCCTCTTCCACCCCACCCCTTCCCACTTCCTTCTCATGGACAGTGATCCTCATTTTTATGGAAGGGGAAAGAGGCACATAGAGGTTATGGATTCAGGTGTATGGAAAACAGCAGAGTCCCAACTGGAGCCAAGCCTGCCAACAATCACAGCAGGCTTCTCCCCTAAAATTCCTTCTCCATCTGCCATGACACTCAGGCATAGAAAGGGAATTTTCATTGTGTCCTTAAGGTTAACTGCTTTGGATGCTTTCAGAGAGGTGATTTCAAAATTCCCCTCTTCCCTGCCTTAAAGAAAAGGAGGAAAGAAGAAAAAAAAAAATAAGCCATATACACAGCTCCCACAGCACATAAGCTGAATGATTTAATATTAGTAAGGGCCAAACTGGATCTTGATAATGAAAATGAAGACACAGTAATACTTTCTCAAGAAAATAAACATTTAGAGGGAGAAAGATTTCTTAAAAAAAAAAAGAAAAAAAAAAAGTTTATTTGGAAAAGCCAGCCTCTTACACAAAAGGTTTTGTACCTATACTTTCACTGTGTCAATTACAATACTTTAAAATGCACTAGGTATGATTTATTGAGTGTCTATCATCTTCGTGTGCATTTTCGAAGATACTAGGTTAGAAAATATTTACAGATTTCATTCTGGTCCATCCTCCCAATCCTTATGCTAAACTCATTTCTCTGCTTTTCAAGTAAGTAAAAAGGGTCACAATATCTTTAGGTTTCTGTGGAGTAGTAAGACTGTGTCTAATAATTATAAGCAAAACATAATTTTTTTTCCAGGCCTTCTCAGTAAAAGAAACAGAGCAACTTCTCTCCCTTTCTTACTCTTACTGGTTTGCCTGGGGCCAAATCACTCTGGCTTTAATTAGCAAACATTAAAAAAAAAAAAAAAAAAACCTAAACACACAAAGACTGAGTATCTCACACACAGCTCTAAGCTAGACGCAGATATAAATGGAACCACTACGAATCAATGGGGGGAAAATTCCAGGAACACCACCACCAACAAAAAATTCCAAGTCTCACAGTTTAACTAAGGTTTTGGTAAAACTGAAGCTAAATTCAGCTGCTATTTGAAATATCTGTCTACATTTAATTAGATGTGTTTACTAAGGAGGCACAAATACATAGTTTTGCATATTTTAAAATTAACTTTTAGAGTGAAAAGTACTAAGTAATTTCAAAGGGGGCAATGGTCTATAACCACTCAAAATGTGTCTTTGAAAAGGGAAAACAGTAATTTAATGAAATAAATTCTCAAGCACTAATAATATTAGCATCCTAAGAAAAGATTCCAGAGGGATGCTGTTGAGTACAATGTATCTAGAACAGCCAAGATGTTTCCAAAGTTTTACGCCTTAAATTTCCTAAATATATAGCTAGCAGGCACTATGCCAGGCAACTACTGATACGGGGAAAATATTTTAGACAGGATTTTATAATATCCCAACTTCCAACCAATACTTCTATTCATAAATCTTCCAGTGATGATGTCTGACAGTGTATTACAAATAACAATGAAGCAAGATTAATTTTAAATTTTAGATTTGTCTCAAACACGTTAGTTGTTATTTTTCCTTATAATGTAACACTTAAAATAGATGAATTCAGCAGAATGGTTTAAAAAGTTAAGGCTCCCTAAAGAGTTCTAAAGACTAAAACTTAAGGCACATATTATAATCTTCTGGACACTGTTAAAAGCTAGGATTTAAACAAACAAACACACAAACAAAAAACCACCACACTACTGCCTTCTCTCATTCTTTGCCAACCACTCCCTCCCCAAAGGTATGGCATTTTTAATTCAGGCTACTGGTAAGGAGTGAAACAAAAATTCCATCCATGAACACCTGGTATGATTCACACACATATGCCCACTATCGTCATTGAGCACCACTGCTGGAATACAGGCCAGTAGATATTTTCAGGTATCTTGGGTCACAGCTACTTCATTGACCCTTGGGCCGCACAGGTTTAGACTGGACTCTCCTCCTCTTTGGGACTTCCTTCTGTGTCCTTCTGCTCTGCAGATTCTGCTGCATATTGTTTTGGATTCTCAGCAGCATCCACACTTGTCTCCTCCTCTTTGCTCTCCTTTTTCTGCTGCTCCTCTGCTTTTTGCTCTTTCGCCACAAGTCGGTAATTGATGCCCATGCCAATGAAGAGATAGACGCCTGCTACAATAAGGATCACACCACATGACCAGTAGGTGTATTTGTAGTCTCCATAGATGTCATTCAGACTACCTGAAGATACCCAAAACAAAGTTATGTGGACAGACGTAAACACGTACACCTTCCCCCAAAGAGAGTTGAAGGATCCACTCAGAAAGATGTCAGCCAATCCTCAAAGAGCCCACAAATGACAAATGCTTCTAAAAAGGGACTGCTAACAATGATCTCATCTTTTATGACATCACACTTGATTTTAGATGGCCTTGCTTATCCTGTTACTTTTAGCAACTTGAAAGGAATGAAATCTTGGCCAACTGGAATGGGGAAGGCCTAGAGATACGTAGAATCAAGTCTCCCCCTTCACAATGGAAAAACGTGTGGCTCAGAAGAGATGTAGGAGTCTTGCCCCAGGCTCCAGACCTAACTGCAGCATCCCGCCCAATGCTCTTTTGCTGACATCAGCATTCCCAAAGAGCAGCCCTAGGGACACTTGTCCTGTGCTACAGAATTAACTAACAGCAACACCTTCCCAACATCCTAGGTGCTTAACCCTCACAACAGGCAGCGTCTGTCATCACACTTGCTGTATAATCTGCTGACTGAAGTTAGAAACCTTGGGTAACTTGTCCAAGGTCACAGAGCTAGTAAGTGAAGTGGCCTGGCTTGAAACCCAGGAGGTCTGACTCTGAGGCCTGACCTGTAACCTCCCAAGTGTTTCCAGAGTCAGACCTAGGAAATGGCTCAGCGTATGCTTCTCCAGTGAAGGGTCACCGTGTGCATTAGCATATTAAAGATTTTGCAAGGTCCTCTAGTAGAGACATCTATCAAACTTAGTGTTCCCAACATCTGCTTTTGGCCATGAAATCCTTAGGATAATAGAATTTATTAGCATCTCATCCAATTGGTATGTTAAGGAATAAACTGTGGAAAACCCTACTCTATCCGTCAGAGAAGGACCGAATAGAACCAATTCAAACACCATTCCATGTGGTTTTCTAACTCAGGGCACTGGCCATCCAGCAATACTCACTGTGCCTACACTTGTCCCAGGCACTGGCCTGCTGGCCTTTAGGATAAGGGAGAACAGAGGAGAAAACCTCCACAGTTCAGCGGACAAGAGAAATGTTAAATAATGACACAAACCAAGACAAGGGGGTTTGCAAGCGGAAACCGGGGGTTGGCTGCAGCAAGCAGGGCCAGGGAGGCGCCTCTTAACATGTAAATGGAGCGGAGACCTAGAGCGGGTTGGGCGTGATCCAGGAGGAGGGGATGGGAGAAGGCTGGGGCCCTGGAACAGCAAGTGCAAAGGCAGGTGAGGAAGCTGCGACGTGAGAGGGGAAGGAGGAAGGGCGGGGTTGCTGGAACAGAGAGAACAAAAGGTGAGTGACAGGAAATGAGGCTGCAGAGATTGGTGGCCAGGCTGGGGGACGCCTTGCAGGCCACAGGAGGGAATTTGATCTCCACCCTGAGAACAATGGGAAGCAACTGGAGAGATCTAATCAGCTGGGCTATCAGGTTTGTATTTGCACAGATAAATTTTGTCTGCAGTGTAGAAAACAGATTGAAGGTGGGATAGAGTGGATATGGGTACACCAGCCAGGAGGCTATGGGAAGCAGCAGCCCAGATGGGAGACAGGAGCTGTGAACACGGTGCTGTGATGGAAAGATGGGCTGATTAGAAAGGGACTTAGGAGGTGAAAATTGACAAGTCTTGGCAATCACTGGATATGGGGTGGAAAAGAACAATATGAAAAGATAGCTGTAGGACTTCTTTCATGTATTCTCACTCACTAGCCAAATACTTTCAAGAAGTATACATCTAAAAGGAGGGCCAAATTGTATTTTCACTAATATTATCTAATGAACTATTAATTTAAAAAGATGAAGTATTTAATAACCTTAGGAAACAGTTCCCAAATCATATCTTCACTTACTAGCCATGTGACACAAGGCAAATTATTTAACTTTTCAAAGTTTCTATTTCTTATGAAGTAGGAACTACGACAGTTCTATTTCATAGGCTTGTGAGATATAAGAGAATATAGAAAATGGTTAGAACAGTCCTTGGTAAACCATGAGCTTACATGGTAGCTATTACCAGAGATGGAGTTGTATTTTACATGTTTTCTACAACAAGCACATAAATTTTTTGAAGAGAAAACATACTTCAAAAAAGAATGCCATTTGTAAAAATATTTGACTCCTCTTTCAGGTGGATGGTTGAGTGTAATTCACTTCCGTAAGAATTGGAGCAGTTCTGTTGTGCCAAGCACTGTGCCAGCACTGAGGCTAGAGGAATCAGAAATACCTTCTGCCACCAGGCAGCTTACTAATCTGGGCTTTCTAGCACCCTTCCATCTCCTATGCCTGCTTCATGTTAATAGAACCAAAGAGGGAGTAGGGCATACTATACCTAAAAGTGGTGGCCCCAGGAGGACAGGACAGCATTCCACAATGGTCACCAATCCCACGGCGCTGGAGAACCTCTGGGGTCCAACGAGGTCCATCAGGGTTTCAAACAACACGGAGCTGAGCCACCCAAATGCAAATCCAAAGAATCCAGCATAGACACAGAACCCAATGTAGCTGGAGGATAAAGGCGCTAGCAGATGACACACTCCGTTTGCAACAATAGAAGCCGCAAAAAAATACTGAACTCGAGGTCTTATCCACTTGGTGTTGGCTACAAGTCCCATAGAAGGTCTAGCTACCATGTCAACAAAAGCCAGAATGGAAAGAAGGAAGGCAGACTTCTCACTAGAGTAATGTTGACTCTTGCCATAATTACTAAGAAAGACTAAAGGGGTAAAAAGTCCAAAAAACATGAGCACATTTCCGGACAGGTATAGCAAAAAGCCTCTGTGTGTGAACAGAGATAAATCCAGGAATTTATTAACTGTTTGGAAAATTGACCGTTTCTCTTCTTTGTGGTTTCCTCCAATAAGATCTGTATTTGCATCACTTGACCCCTTTTTCTCTTCAGATTTCCCAGGTTCCTGAAGGGATTCTTTGGACCTTTTCCCCACATTTGTCGCTGGGGGCCCTATTGGTCGCATCAGAGCTCCAGCCACACAGCAGTTTAGGAGGAGGCCCCCGAGAATTAGGAAGCTCCCTCTCCAGCCAAAGATACCAAAGAAAGCCTGATTGAGGGGGGCCAGGGTGGAGAGGAACACAGGGCTGCCGGCCATGGCCAGTCCATTTGCCAAAGGTCGCCTCTTGTAGAAATACTTGCCAATCATGGTCAGAGCGGGATTCAAGTTGAAGGCAAGCCCAAGACCTGGGAGGATGGAAAAGAACCACATAAATGTCACAAACATATTAGGAATTACTTAGCCAGACAAAGAAATTAAGACGAGAAGTATAAAAAATGCAAAAGAGACAAAAATCCTCACCAGTTCAGGACATACTGCATAATGGTTTAAAGTATGAGATCTAAGTGGGTTCAAACCTCAGCATCACTATTTACTGGCTGGTAAGATCAGACACATGAGTGTTTCCTGATACGTAAAAGAGGCATGCAACACTACGTTGAGTAAAACATTTAGAAGAGTGCCTGGCATATAGAAAGCACTCAATAAATGTTATTTTTATTACTGTTGCTTATATTACTTGAAGGTGAATAACTATTTGTCTAGTCTTACAGAATCATCTGAGGAGTCACTGTAACAATAGACGATCATTAAGTAGATAGTTACAACTAGAGACAAAAGTTTTACAACAGAAAATGCAATACAAAATTACTCCTTTTACAGTAGTATCAAAAAGTTAAAAAAAAAAAAAAAACAAAAAACCAAACATGTAATGTATATTCACTACAAAAATATGCTCACTACAATTGTGTAACTTTCCTAAAGAGTCACTGAATTTAAAAACAACACACACACATATACACAGTTTTCGGATAATAAAGCACAACATTATCAAGGTGTCAGTACTTCCCAAATGAATGCATTAATTTAATGTTATTCCAAATGAAATGTCAGTGCATTTCATTTGGAATAGGTAAAATGACTCTAAAACATACTTAGAAGAATGCATGGGAGTCAACCAGGAAATTTTTGGTGGTACAGGAGGAGTGGGACAAACTTTAACAGATATTTAAGTGTTCTTCTAAAAGCTACAATTATTACAACAGTGTGGCTCTGACTCAGGTAAACACTTATCAGTGAAAGTGGTCAGAAAGTCCAGGAACATACCTGATTTTATAGATAGATAGATAGATAGATATCCATATATAAATGTAAATGATTTTTTAAAAAAGATTTTATTTATTTATTTGACAAAGATCACAAGTAGGCAGAGAGGCAGGCAGGGGGGAGGGGGAGCAGGCACCCCACTGAGCAGAGAGCCCTATGCGGGGCTAGATCTCAGGACCCTGGGATCATGACCTGAGCGGAAGGCTGAGGCTTTAACCCACTGAGCCACCCAGACGCTCCATAAATGTAAATGATTTAATATATATATAATATAAAATGTAAAATGATTTAACATATATATGTGATTTAATGTAAAAATGAAATTTTAAATTACTATAGAATTATTCAATAAACAGTGCTAGTAAAAGTAAATATTCAAATAACTTCTAGATGCTCTCCCTGGCCCCAACTTGCTCCAGCTCCCTACCATTTATGTTTAAGGTATTCACAGAGGCTTAAACCAATACACCAGGGCAGACCACTCTCTCAGTTCAGGCTTGCTAATGGCTTCCCATCCATAACCTTTACCTTGGCCTTTACCTCCCTTCCTCATCTCATACCAGACCATTCTCACCTGTGCCAATAAGCATACTGTTGACCTGGGGCTTAGGTTGCCCCAAATTTTCACAAAGCTTGTTTCCTGTTGCTACTCTTATCTCTTGGTTAAGGTCAACTCTTCAGAGCGACCTACCTTTGTAGACTACCAATCTACCAGTCCTTCCCTGTCAGAACATTTTGTTTTGAGGCTTTGTATAGCATTATCACTACCTGATATTCTTCCTACTTATACATACATGTGTGAGTAGTACTGTCTGTCCCCTCATTAAAGGGTATGATTTAGCCCTAGTTGTTGCTCTATTCCCAATAAAATCTAGAATATTGCTTGACACACACATGGTTGTTACTCAATAAATATTTGAGGAAATAAAAGAGCAAACAAACAAACTGACTAACCATGTGGGAACAAAGAGAGTTTCATATTTCTTCTCATTTTATGTAAAATGTTCTTTTCCAATCAGAAATTTTAAATGTAAAAAAAGGAGGGGGGAAAGATTAAATGCAATCCTTATCAAACTACCAACAGCATTTTTCACAGAACTAGAACAAATAACCCTAAAATTTGTATGGAATTACAAAAGATCCCCAAATAGCCAAAGCAATCTTGAAAAAGAAGAACAAAGCTGGAGGTATCACAAGTCCAGATTTCAAGTATATTATAAAACTGTAGTAATCAAAACAGTATGGTACAAGCACAAAAATAGACACATAGATCAATGGAACAGAATAGAGAGCCCGGAAATAGACCCACGATTATATGGTCAATTAAATTAATCTTTGACAAAGGAGGCAAGAATATGCAATGGGAAGAAGAGAGTATCTTTAAAAAACGGTGGTGGGAAAACTAGACAGCTGTATGCAAAAGAATGACACTGGACCACTTTCTTACACCATCTACAATCATAAACTTAAAATGGAGTAAGGACCTAAATGTGAGACCTGAAACCATAAAAATCCTAGAATAGAGCAGAGGCAGTGATTTCTCTGACATCAGCATAATATCTTTCTCATATGTCTCCTGAGCCAGGGGAAACAAAAGTAAAAATAAACTACTGGGACTGCATCAAAACAAAATCTCCAGCACCACAAAGGAAACAGTCAACAAAACAAAAAGACAACCTAGTGAATGAGAACAGATATTTGCAAATGACATATCTGATAAAGGGCTAGTAGCCAAAATATATAAATAACTTATAACACACACACACACCCCAAATAATTCAATTAAATAATGGGCAGAAGACATTAGACATTTTCCCCTACAGATGGCCAACAGACACATGAAAAGACGCTCAACATCACTCATCACCAGGGAAATGCCTATTAAAACTACAAAGAGATAACACCTCATATGTGTCAGAATGGCCAAAATCAAAAGCTCAAGAAACGGCAAATGTTGGGGATGATGTGGAGAAAAAGAAACCCTTGTGCACTACTGTTGGGAATGCAAGCTGGTAGAGCCTCTGTGGGAAGACAGTAGGGATGTTCCTCAAAAAATTAAAAGTAAAATTACCATATGATCCAGTAATTCCACTACTGTATATTTACCCAAAGAAGATGAAAACACCAGTTTGAAGGGATATATGCACCTTGATGTTTACTGTAGCGTTATTTACAATAGCCAAGTATGGAAGAAACACAAGTGTCCACTGATTGGTGAATGGATAAAGATGTCATACACACACACACACACACACACACACACACACATACACACACACAAATATTATTTTTGTTAAGGATTTATTTATTTGAGAGAGAGAGAGTGTGCATGCATGCATGTGAGAGTGGGGAGGGGCAGAGGAAGAGGAAGAGGATCTCAGAAAGACTCCCCAACTCCCCACTGAAAACAAAGCCCGAGACAGGGCTCAATCCCAGGACTCTGAGATCATGACCTGAGCTGAAACCAAGAGTCAGATGCTCAACCACTCAGTGCACTGAGCCACCCAGGCACCCCTATACAATGGAATATTATTCAGCCATAGAAAGAATGAAATCCTGCCATTTGCAACAACATGGATGGATCTGGAGAGTATAATGTTATGTTAAATAATCCAGCAAAAGAATGCAAAGAGCATATGATTTCACTCATGTGTGGAATTTAAGAAATGAAACAAATGAACCAAGGGGCAGGGGGGAGACATACCAAACCAAACCAAACCAAGCCAAAACCCCAGACTCCTAACTACAGAGAACAAGGGGAGAAGGGTTACGGGGATGGGTAAAATAGGTGAAGGAGATGAAAAGTACACTGATCTGGATGAGCACTGAGTAATATATAGAATTGCTGGATCACCAGATTGTACACCTGAAACTAATATAACAGTATGCCAGCTACACTGGAATTAAACACAATTTAAAAAAAGTAGGCAATGGGCGCCTGGGTGGCTCAGTGGGTTAAGCCACTGCCTTCGGCTCAGGTCATGGTCTCAGAGTCCTGGGATCGAGCCCCGCATCGGGCTCTCTGCTCGGCAGGGAGCCTGCTTCCTCCTCTCTCTCTGCCTGCCTCTCTCCCTGCTTGTGATCTCTCTGTCAAATAAATAAAAATAAAATCTTAAAAAAAAAAAAAGTAGGCAAATACATTCATAATCTTGGCATGGACAGCAACTTTGTAATATTGATACACTAGATAAAAATCATAAAATATTGTGAGTTTTAAATACCTGAAATTGTAGATGAAAAGGGGAAAAGGTGGAATAAGACTAAACTAAAAAATTTTCTTTCAAACAAAATTCAACAGAAAAAAAATTAACTGACAGACACACAGCAAGAGAGGGAACACAAGCAGGTGGGGTGGGAGAAGGAGAAACAGACTTCTGGCTGAACAGGGAGCCAGATGGATGCAGGGCTTGATCCCAGGACCCTGGAGTCATGACCTGAGCCAAAGGCAGATGCTTAATGACTGAGCCACCCAGGCACACCATCTCTTTCATTATTCATTCATTCATTCAACAATGAACATCCACTATATAACAAGAATTTCTTTAGAAGTTTGTTTTTCTTGTACCCTTTAATGTATTTACAGCTCTTCATAATGATAATCAAGTAATTTCTTTAAGGTAGGACTTTCACTCAAAAGATCTGAAAGATGAACATTAAATGAATACCAAATAGCCAGCAATAAATTAATGCTTGAAAATGAATCAACAGTAACTCACCTCCAATGACTCCAACACTCAAGTAAAGTTCCTTAACAGTATTACAGAACGAAGCCGCTATCAAGCCACAGCCTGACAAGCAGCCACCAACAATCATGATTGGACGACTGCCATATTTATTCACCAGAATACTGCTGATCGGACCTAGGAGAGAACCAGAAATTTAGTAGCAGAGAGGAAAGGAACCAACTCCCTCGTATCTACACAAGGCATTGACACTAAATTACAAGTCCTTTAAAATAAACAGATAAAAACAAAGACAACAGTAAGAATACCGAATGTGTATTAGAAAATAAAGATGCTAAAAACCATCATTGTCTATCTTCTTTATGAATATTGGATGGAATTTTACTAAAATATCAGACTCTGGTTCTCTCCTTAATCTTCCTGTTATAAGGCATAACTGGCTGAAAACACTTGTTAACGGATATTCATAGGCTTGTTGATCTAAGATATGACAAACAGATTTAGTTAAGTTTGCTCTGTTTTAATTTCTGGACAGGCACTCTGATATGATGATTATCAGAGCATTATTTGCACATTATCATAAATGTAGTTTGTGTCATATTTTTAAAAAAGAAAAAAAATTCCCTGAAAAATATGTAATTATTTTTTTCAAGTTTAAGTAGCTTTGTAATTAGGAAATCTAAATTGAAAACAAAAACTGTTCCCAGTTACACCTAGATGTCTCAGGTACCAAATTGAATATTTCTTTTAAGAGTTAACTTGGTCCCATGCCCAAAATACTGTTTCATGGTAGCAATACTGTTAAAAAAAAAAAAAAAAAAAAAAGCTTGCAGGAGATTAAGTCAAATAATGGTCAAAATATCTTGGATCTAACAACTCAAGATGGGAAATGGAGTATTATCTAAAATAATCAAATTAAATTTCCTCTGATAATCAAATAGAACCATACCAAAATACCAGTTTTCCTTCAGTGTGAGAGAGGGACCCATATAAAATGTGAAGTATCATAAGGATCAGGAAGAAAAAGACTTGATGCAGTTAATGTATCAGTTTTCAAATAAGAGTATCAAATGGGCTCTCCTTACTTGCTATAAACAGATATAATCTATAATTCCCCTATTCCCCTTTCCAAATTTTTAAGTGTTTATTATAACATGGGGTGCCTGGGGGTGGCTCAGTTGGTTGAGCCTCCAGCTCTTGGTTTTGGCTGGGGTCATGATCTGGGGTGGTGAAATTGAGCCCTGCATGGGACTCCACACTCCTCAGGGAGTCAGCTGGCAGATTCTCTCTCTCTGCCCCTCCCCGGCCACCGCATACACTTGCTCGCTCTCTCAAATCGTTAAAAAAAAAAGAGCTGTAACACAACTCTTAAGTAGACTAACAATATTTTCTGATTACCCTGAATGACATTCATTGCATTTTATTTCTTTATAGAAGAATATACCTATGTCTGTACTGCATGGATATGGACTTGTGGGAATGGCAACTTTCTTTTTACATGACACCATACCTCATCTGCCTATTTAAGGTAGATGACTGCAAACAGACAGGATCGGTGCAATGCATCAGTGGGGAAGGGCACACAAGGAAATGAACTGATGTGTGAACTTTGCAAAGTCACAAAGCTACCGAGGACCAAGTTTCAAATCCAGCCCATTTCCTCTCTATTATGTGTACTCCATATATTTGGAACTAAGCTATAAAGCAGAAGGCATAAAAATTATATTTTTCTTCTATTAGCACAGTAAATTCGGACTTTATTCTGTTTATTCTATAATTAGTTCCTTAGAAGACAGTAAGTCCATTTTTTAAAACAAATATAGAATGTATGTATTCAGAATATATTATTGGTTATATGTTGACATATTCTATTTCCATAAACACTATGGGAAATTCTGCAGTTACTTATATTCTAGTATTATACTCCAAGTTGCAGTATGATGCAATTAAAAGGTCAGCTCTGACCCTAGGGAACCCAGATTCAAATTATGGTGTATATAAGCATGCAAGAAGGAGGGGGAGAAGCAGGCTCTCCACTGAGCAGGGAGCCTGATGCAGGGCTGGATCCCAGAAACCTGGAATCATCACTTGAGCCAAAGGCAGCTGCTTAATCAACTGAGCCATCCTGGTGCCCCATTTTTTTCTTTTTCAAGATTTTATTTATTTACTTGTCAGAGAGAGAGAGCACGAGTGAGAGCACAAGCAGGGAGAGTGGCAGAGGGAGAGAAAAAAGCAGGCTCCCCATTGAGCAGGGAGCCTGACTCAGGGCTTGACCCCAGGACACCAGGATCATGACCGAGCTGAGGGCAGGTGCCTTACAGTCTGAGCTACACAGGTGGCCCAGAATCAAACTTTTTGATATCCTAGTGTTTCAGAGGACTAAGTCTCTTTAAGGGTTCGATCAAGAACTGGCTGCCAGGAAAGACTTCCTGCCCAACCAAGGATATGTATAAAGAAGTTTTCATTGAATTTCTAAGTCACTTCATGAAAATATCAGACCATGGCTGGTTTGGAAATAGCCTGAATTTATAGCTTGTATAAGATGAAAAGAATTAAATACTGAAAGAATATTCATGAAATATTTCCATATAATTTGGTCATGAAATAGATTTTGGTATAGTAAGAATTACAAAGATCAAAATCCTGCCACACACAAGAAGAAGTTAATACTGTAACATCTGTAAGGGGTGCCTGGGTGGCTCAGATGGTTAAGGGTCTGCCTTCCACTCAGGTCATGATCTCAGGGTCCTAGGATAGAGCCCCACATTGGGCTCCCTGCTCAGCGGGAGGCCTATTCTCCCTCTCCCACTCTCCCTGCTTGTGTTCCCTCTCTAGCTGTGTAACTCTGTCAAATAAATAAACAAAATCTTAAAAAAAAAAAATACTGTAACATCTGCAATATTAAACTAGGAAATGTTAAGGACATCAGTGTGAAACTGAAAACAGGCAAATTTACACTTCCCTTAAAAAAAAAATTAGGAAAAACTCAAATAAATAGAATAGGCAACTAAAATCTCCTCCCTAAAAATACTTATACTCTAACAAGCATCAGCACATATCTCTGAACCAAAGTACTAAAAAATTAAAAAATGCTAAACCACTCAGAGTTCAAAACATCAGCATTGAGGGTGTGGGCCAAATACATTAAGTTAAAGAATTGTGGCAGTTGTGAAACTGATGATAACTCTTAGGGGATATGCCACCTAGGAGCCAATCGAAACAAAATAACCCATTTAGTAAAAATTCTGCCACAAGGCTCTCGATATGCAATTTGTCTTTCAGAGTTATTTCAGGAAGGATGGCCCCAATTAGCTATCATTAAAAATAGAGAGGGGTACAGTTCGTAGGCCTATTATAACACAAATTCAGAGAAATGTGCTAGTTATCTCTGGGTGAGGACAAAGAAGGAACTGTTTTCCCAGAAGAAAGTGTCATGTGCCATTAGTACAACTGACATCACTTACTTCTGATGCAAAATGCAAGTGGCTCTCAAGCTCTTTGGCAGCTCCAAATTGTACATGTGAACCTCTGGTTTATAGTCAGCTTAAAGCACCTGGAGTATGTCTGGATAATATTTATACCAGCTTCTCCCAGTCATCATAGTTAAAACCTGATTAGAAAATCCTGGCAGATGAGAGCTCAAAGCCTCCAAAACTACTGGCTCTCAGAAGCTAGATAATATCCAAAGTCCCTTTTGACTTCTCTGAACTTATAAAAAGAAAATAAGTACTACAATTTAGCACTTATATTCTTTTTTTAAGATTTTTTTTTTAATTTAATTATTGGACAGAGATCACAAGTAGGCAGAGAGGCAGACAGAGAGGGCGGGAAGCAGGCTCCCCACTGTGCAGAGTCAGGGCTTGATCCCCAGGACCCTGAGATCATGACCCAAGCAGAAGGCAGTGGCTTAACCCACTGAGCCACCCAGGTGCCCCAGCACTTATATTCTCTTAAAAGTACTTGACAGAATAGGCATACCTTCAAAATTCAAAAGGCATAAAATAAAAAGATATACAGTGAAAAAACTTAAGTCTTCCCACTTCTGTTCCCAGTCACCGAATTCACCTCTAAGGCAACCAGGTTACCTGTTTTTTGTATGCAATGAAATTATATATTTAGTTAAATTATGACTTTAACTATTCTTGTTTCATGAGTTTATGGTATTGTCTCAATAGGATTATAAACTCCCCAAAGGCAGGGATCAGGACCAAGTGTTCTCTATCACTCACAGTATCTAGCCTAGTATGAAATATGTGCATACCGCTAAACATTGGTTGACTCTGCCACCAGGTTATTGGAATTCCAAGAATTCCAATTCTAAGGTTTTATAGTCAACATACAGAATCTTTGTATTGGCTATTAAGAAGCTACATGTGAAAATAATCTGAGATACTAAACTGCCACCAAAAAGTAGTATTAACAGAGGTGAAAGTTTGGCTAAGCAACGTGAGACACTGTCAATCTCAGTAAATAAATACACTTGGCTTTAGAATCTCACTAAGCAACTGTATTTTAAGTACTATGGAAGGTTTTGAGTTTTACATTTTACATTGTAATTTGATGGTCCAAGGGGAAACGGAGTATTTTAAATGATGTTAGTTAAGCAACTTACTCTTCACATTTCCTTTATAACATGTCAAGGAAAACAGAAGGGGAAAAAAATGATGAAACTTAAGTTTAAAGTTCAGCTGAAATGCTTTTAGGATGAATAACATCACAAGGAAGAATGGGAAGATTTTATTCGGTTCTTTAAATCTAATACCATGAAAAGATTTTACCCGAGACTTTGAACTATGCTATTAAGGTGAGCCTGATTTACTTTAATTCTCCCAACATCAATTTAAGAAAAACCTTTATTTGTGGGATGCCCGGGTGGCTCAGTTAAGCGTCTGCATTCAGCTCAGGTCAGGATCCCAGGATCCTGGGATCAAGTCCTGCACTGGACTCCTTGCTCAGTGGGGAGCCTTCTTCTCCCTCTGCCTGCCATTCCCCTTGCTTGTGAGCTCTCTGACAAAAAATTGAATAAAATCTTTAAAAAAGAAAAAGAAAAAATCTTTATTTGTGTTTACATCTTAAGAATCTAGCAGAGAGCAGTAAGAAAAATCAGCTGTGCACGTTATTTTTCTGAGAGCTTTTAAATGATACTGAGTTGAACCAAATCACAGACCCTCACAGGTACTTACCTCCACCATACATGACAGCCAACATGATTGAGGATATCCATGATACTTCACTGGTGGTGGCATTGAATATGCCTTCAATTTCTTTGAAGAACACAGTAATGGATTTGGGAAATGCATAAGAGAAGCCGATGGAAATGAAAGCTCCAACTACTACTGCCCACCCCCAGCCTCCATCTGGGGGAGTGTATCCAACTGGACCTCCAACTGCTGGTGGCATTTTAAGTGTAGATGAATTCCAAAATGCAGTTCAAATCCAAGTATCTGAAGGACATAAAATTAAAATACCATGTCAGTAATAAAGCACTTCCACCAGTAAAGCACTTCTACCCTTTATAACCAGCTCTCAAGTAACTGGAATTGTTTCCTGATATTACTTTAGCAATAGAGATGATCTTCTAAGGACATTATCAGAAAAAAAGTCTTAGGGGTCCCTGGGTGGCTTAGTTGTTAAGCATCTGCCTTTAGTTAAGGTCATGATCCCAGGGTCCTGGGATGGAACCCTGCATTGGGCTCTCTGCTCAGCAGGAAGCCTGCTTCTCCCTCTCACACCGCCCCCCTGCTTGTGTTCCCTCTCTTTCCCCGACTCTCCCTCTCTGCCAAAATACATAAATACATAAAATCTTAATTTAAAAAAAAAAAGAAAAGAAAGAAAAAGAGTCTTAGATGGGGCACCTGGGGCTCAGTTGGTTGGGCAACTGCCTTAGGCTTAGGTCATGATCCCGGAGTCCCAGGACAGAATCCTGCATCAGCCTCCCTGGGAGGCTGCTTCTCCCTCTGACCTCCCCCCTCTTGTGCTCTCTCTCTCTCTCTCACTCACTCTCTCCAATAAATAAATAAAATCTTTAGAAAAGAAAAAAGAAAGAAAGAAAGGAAAAGAGTCTCAGAGATACGGTATTGCCAAGAATAGCATAAAGGAAAATAGCTCCATACCATTTAAGGAGCCATATCTGAAATATATCCTGTTCAATACAGTCTTTGCATTTCAAATAAACCTACTTGTTTCAGCAGTTAGTATAACTCCTCAAATTACCATAACTAACCATGTCATTTGACTTATCTGCTTGCAAAATTCACGTAACACATGCCATATGCAAGTTTCAGCCTTGAACAAAGTCTTTGTAAGTTTTCCCTCTTTCCCAAAATTTATTCTTCAATCCTACCTTTACTTTCTCCTATTTATTTGCTGACAAAATATTAGGAAGTGGGTACCCGAGTCACTATATATGTAGCAATTTACAAAACAGATCATTCTGAACACCAAAGAATTTCATTCAGTGGGCTAGAAAATTCTGTCAGAAAAGTTTCCTTTTATCTAATTGTTTTGTTTCAAGGTATTTTTTTTCCATTGTATAAGAAAAAACCCTAAACATCAGCTAGTCAATATAAACTCACAAATTGAACTATGCTGTCAAAAGATGGTACTTCAAATCAAAAACTTCCTTTTTCTTGAAGTTGCCTAGTACTAATGAATAGCATGGCTAGAAAATGTAACTTCCTGTTAAAAGTGTGAACAAGATGATAGAGTGAGTGTGTGATGGTAGTCTTGCCTGTTTTCTCATGAAGCTCTCCTTTTATTTATTTGAAGCTAGCTTCTACCTTACAACTCATCCTGCAACACCATGTTAGCATGTTCATTTCAAATGATCACCACTCAGATTTATTACACCAATAAATACTGGTCACAGAGGACAAGTTCACTCTTTGCTACAACATTCTTTAGTCTAAAATACAAATCCTAGCTTATAATATAGCAGTAGTATAGTAGTCAACTGCTAAACATTATTTCTTCCAACCCATTTGAACACTTCAAATATGATTTAAGATAATGAATGTTGCAGGAGTAGGAAAAAATATAGCTCATAAGGGAAGTTTCCCTAAAAGCAACAGTATAGGTTTCAACACTTCTACGCGACATTATACTAGAGGTTCTAGCCTCTGGTACATGCAGACAAGAAAAAGAATAAAAGGTAAAAAGACTAGGAAGGAAGAAGTTGTCTTTAGTCACAGATAATATAATCATCTATGTAGGCAATACTAAAGAATATTTTAAAAACGTTCCTGAACTAAAAATGAATTTAACTAGGTTTCAGGATATAACAGTAATAAACAGAAATTATCTGTCTTTATATATAAACCAGTATCAGAATTTGCAATTTTAAGTAATACCACTTAGAACAACATCAAAAAGCTATTGAACAGGGATATATCTGGCAAATAATGTGCAAGATGTATACAATGAAAACTATACGATATCACTAAGAAATTAAAAAACAAAAGATAATCCATTCTCATGGTTTGAGAGACTCAATATTTAAATTAAGCAAATATTTCTAAAGGCACACAACAGCACATTTACTAAAAAGTGTATAAATTGATCTTAAGCTACAGGTTGGGAGAAAATAAATACAAAAAATAACCAACAAAAGACATGTCCAAAACATAAAAAGATCTTTAATGACTTAGTAGTAAAGACAACTCAATTAAAAATGGACAACAGAAATGGAGAGATAATTTATCAAAGAAGATACATGGATGACAAAGAAGTACATGAAAAAAATGCTCAAATTTGTTAGCCATTTATAAAACGCAAATTGTAATCAAAGATACTAATACATATCTATTAGAATGACTAAAATTAAGACCGATAATAACAAGAGTTGGTGAGGATATGGAGCAAACAGAATGCTGTTTTGGTGGTAAAGCACAACAGTAGAGCCAGGTTGAAAAACATTTGGAAGTGTCTTATTAAGTTAAAGATATAAACATATGATTTAATCATTACATCACTTGGTAAATGAAAACATACATCTTCACAAAGACTTATGTGAGAATTCCCTAATAGCTTTATTCATAACAGCCCCAAACTGGAAACAACCCAAATGTCCTTCAACAGTGAATGGAAAAACAAATCATGGTATAGCCATATATTGGAACAACAGACTTAAACAAACTATTGATGCATGTAAGAATATGGATGAATCATAAAAGCATTATGTTAAGTGAAAAAAGATTAGATCTAAGACTATATTCTGTATGGTTACATTTATATCATGCTCTAGAAAAGGCCAAACTCTAGGGCGCCTGGGTGGCTCAGTGGGTTAAGCCTCTGCCTTTGGCTCAGGTCATGATCTCAGGGTTCTGGGATTGAGCCCCACATCGGGCCCTCTGCTTCGCAGGGAGCCTGCTTCCCCCTCTCTGCCTACTTGTGATCTCTCTGTCAAATAAATAAATAATCTTAAAAAAAAAAAAAAGAAAGAAAGAAAGGAAGAGAAAAGGCCAAACTCTAGTAATAGAAAACAGATGAGGGATTGGAGAGATGAGGCTGACTGCAAAGGGGCCTGAGAGAATTTCTCCAGCCGATGGAAATGTTCTGTTATGATTGTGGCAGTAGTTACACATCAAATTGTATTTATGGTATGTAAATAATACCTCAGGGGCATCCGGGTGGCTCAGAGGGTTAAGAGTCTGCCTTCAGCTCAGGTCATGATCCCAGGGTCCTGGGATCAAGCCCCATTCTTCGGGCTTCCCGCTCAGCAGAAGCCTGTTTCTTCTCCCTGTCCCTCTGCCACTCCCCCTGCTTGTGCTCTCTCACTCTCACTCTCTCAAATAAATAAAAATCTTAGAAAAATAATACCTCAACAAAAATGATCAAAAAAAATAGTTCAGACAGTGACAAGGAGGATAAAATCTGTTCAGTAGCATATGGAGATAATACAGAAGCAAAAGGTGATGGCAGGCAAATTCTCTTGGCTATCTGGTGATTAAAAGAAAGAAAAGGAAACCAGAAGAGGAGATGACATACTTTTCTGGGAATTCACAATTACGGGTCTGGGTGAGCTTGTGCTTGGCAGGGCAATGTCTGTGGGAAACCTCTGTTGTTCTTTTAGATATATACTACGCTTGACTTTGCTAGCAAAGATTTCCCACAGATAAAGCCCTGCCAAACATAAGCTGACAAACTATAAATTCTCACTCACTCATTCATTCATTCATTCATTTAAAGTAGGCTCCATGCCCAGCGTGGAGCCCAGCCCAGGGCCTGAACTCACAACCCAGAGATCAAGACCTGCGCTCAGATCAAGAGTCAGATGCTCAACTGACAGAGTCATTCAGGTGCCCTGACAATCTAAAATTTCAAAACACATCAAGAATCAATTAACCATGAGTGAAGTAAAGCCAATTCAATATTGCTGGATTAGACACAAGCACTACAGACATTGCATGTGAATATTTAAAATTATTAAAAGCATGAGATAAGAAATTAAGACCACTAAATGAAAAACAACACATTAAATAGTATTAAAAGACCAGCTGACCTGAAACAGAACTTCCAGAAATAAAAAGTATACTCAACGAAATAATAGGTTAACCAGCAGACTGAATATAGCTAGAAAAGAGAGAACATAAATCTAAAGGATAGGTTTGAAGAAAACAGAATTCAGGGGAGAGCTTTATTCTGGAGCTGAGGGAGAAAGATTTACAAACACAGGAGTTGAGAATGGGAGCATCTGGCATACATCTAAATGGACTTGGGAAGAAAATGGAAAAAGAGTGGGACAGAGGCAATTTTCAGGGGTTAATGGCTATGGCTACTCCAGATTTGATGAATAATATGAACCTACAGTTTGAGGAAACCCAGTAAGATAAAGAGGAAAACCTTAAAAATTTTTTGAGAAAATACAGATTATCAGGAAATACAGATTACAAGATAATCAAACTTGACAAAACAGAATTCTCATCAATTTTGAAAAACTCTCAGCCACTATGTCTTCAAATATTCCTTCTTCCTCCTTCCCTTTTTCCACTCCCCTGACACCCCAATTAGATGTGGGTTGAACCTTCCCATGTTATCTATTCTCTTTCTCTTCTGCGTTTTCCATCCTTAGTATAGTTCCATCTGTACTGAGAATTTGAGGCTTAGGATAGTATCTTCCTCCAGTGATTTTCACTTACCTAGGGCTATATAAACCTAAAATCTCTTCAAGAATATTTCAAGGACCAATATGTTTTGTTCATACAGATGACATGAAATCAGGCTGCAGTCATTTGAGGAATGTTTTACCTCCAATGTACCCTTATTCCTATGGCACAGCTCTTTAGGATCCCAACTCAAAAGAACAGGATTTACCAGAGCTCTTACTCTTGACGGACCCTAGACTCTCAACATTTGTTCCCTTGGATCCATGAAGCTTTCCAAAGCACTACCCAGGCCACCAAGACAGTTGCTCCTCCTCCTATAACCAAAAAGCCATAGGACTCCA